TTAAGATTTATTTAACAGGTACTTACAGAATGATAAGGAATGTCTTTATCCTCTTCTTCTTCTTCTTCCATTTCATCCTCTTCTTCCATTTCATCCTCTTCTTCCATTTCATCCTCTTCTTCCATTTCTTCTTCCATTTCTTCTTCTTCATCGTCTTCTTCATAATCCTTGGTTCCTTTGTAAGGAACCAAGTCACGATTATTTTTCGATGATTCTGTAGACCTGTAACCGGCATTTCTTGTTTTAGTTCCTGAGGTATCATTTATAAATCCTTCGTAAGCTTTTTCTAAAGCTGCAACAAATCTACTGTCATTGTCGAATGCACTAAATATTAACTTGTTGTATTTTTTGTGAATTCCAAGAGCCGTTTTGACATATAATTCAGGTTCCTGAAAGAACTATAAATTAGTAAAATACGAAACTAATACGTGACTTCTATTTTTAATGAAAATAAATCTTACGTTATATGAAATATTGCTAAAGTTGTCGACATCTACAAAACCATGATTGTTAATGTGACTTTCATAAATATCTGCCAGTTCATTGAGACCATTTGGTACCTTTGATATCATCTTGTACATTTGGCCCAAGTCTCTGTTTTCATCAGCGTCTAACAAATTATAAAACTCCTCGTATAATACATCAAGATGTTTCTCGATCAGTACTTGCTCGCACGTCTTCATGAGTTTGTCGTGTGTTGTCTCGTGCAAGTAATTTTTTACACGTCTTTCTTCTGTTCCAAGCCATTTTTCAACCTGTCGACATTGAAAGAATTTAAAAAAAAGTATAGAAAGTACCAGTCGATCAAAACTACACAAAATTATTTTATCCCTAATAACATGAGTTTTCCCAACTTTTTCATTAACAATCCATTAAAGAAAATTAAATACATGTGCAACAGATAAAACTTCAAAGTTTTTGTGATTTTTGTGTAGGTTTTTTTGTTAAGAATTGTGTTGCAGTAAATAAAACAGCCATAATGGCATTTTGATTAAATTAATATTTAGTAAAAATTACATTAAACAAAAAAATGTTTTCATCACCTCTAGTACACCACGAATTTTCATTAAATTAACCCTAAATCAATTGATTAAAGACGTTTTTAGAACTAAAGCAGTATAAAACTTACAACTAGCGTAAAATAAATCCACTATACCTTTTTTATATATACTGAGACTAAATTGTTACGCAAAAATTCTTCACTTTTACGAGTATAAAATATTTCGGTGTCATCGAGAAATTGATTTTCAAATGCTTCTTCGTATAAGCGAAGAGTTTGTCCCTCGTCACCGAGAACTTCTTCGATGAGACCAAGTTCTACGTAGCTGCTGATGACTCCACCGATTAAACGCGTGTTTATCGTTTCTCCATTTCTTTCGCGCTCAATTAGATTTAAAACGGCGTTGGTTACCTGGAATCAAATAATATATTTTTTCATGACGCCATAGCAAATTTTTATTTAAATTTAATGTATACCTGTTTGTTCAAATTCTGAAAAATAGTATCCTTCCATGCCACTAACGCCAATTTGTATGTTTCAAAAATTCCCTTATGTCCTTCTGTGCGTTCCTCTTTTACCCAGTGATTATTGAAGTAGGCAAAAATATCATTGAGTACTTTACTGCTCGACTGGTATTCTTCCCACACTTTTGCGTAAAATTCGAGTAAACGTTCACCCGAGAAATGATCTTTTTGCTGCAGAAAAATTCATTTTTCAATTAAAATTTACATTAATAGAAGTAAAAATGAAGTTATGTAAAGTTTTGTCGACACGTTCAAATAAAAAACATAGTTGAAGAAACCGGCGTTAAAGTGATGGGCTAACAAATTAAAATAATTTTTAAAATTATTAGTAGTAAAAAAGTTTATTAGTAGTAAATTTATTAAGTAACAAGAAGACTATTCATATCTTTTTTTATGTAACTCCTCTGAGAACTTATACTAGGCTAATACCGAATGTAGAATCTGGTTATTAATAATTTTATTCACATTTCAATGACAACATTAAAAATGATTAATAGCTTATACATCAATTAAAAATAATAAAGTATCATATTCATGGGGCCTCATTAAATTGTTACGACAAAATATTGCAAATTACTACAAAATATATATGATACTTGGACGTTGCATCAATATTGCAAAGTATTAAGATACTGCATGATACTTTAATGCTTTTATTATGTTGAACGTGAGATACATGCGGTATCAAAATTTTACGAATCTAGAAAAATTTAGTTCGTGGAACCAATGACAACATCAAAAACAAGGTTAACGTTGAACGTACATTTCTTAATCCTGAGGCAGTATGACCACGCAATGTTGCAAAAATTAAAAATATTGTGCTGAATTGAAAAAATATTCAACTACTATGAACTTCAACATATTTGCTCTAAACCTCACTACAAGATTTTTCTCATAAGGAAGGTGAAAAAATTGTATAAAAATTTATTTAGTGTTAAAAAAAATGGTATAGAATACTTAGAGTAGCTACATCGCTGTCTAACTAATAATTAATAACCCAAAGTAAGTAGGGTACATATTAAAAAGACATCATTGTAAATGTGCTCACCTTCAACAAGTTCATGTTGTAGTCCTGAAGAAAATCTTTCAATCGCTTATACAGTATTGCACCAATGAATTGAGTAAGATCACATATTTCATCTTGTTTTAATATTTTAGACTGTAGCCAACTCTTCATTTTGAATGTACAAATGCAGTGGTTGTACACCAGACTACATATTCAGAGTCATTTTAACATTATTTTACTGGTAAAATGAAAAAAAAAAAAATTATACAGGAAGGCTCTAAATCCTTGAGTAAAATAACTTACTACATTGTCGCTTGTGGATTTTTTAACACACGTATTTTTGCAATTTGAGGACAGTACCCCTAGGAAAGTGCTTGCTTGAAAAAATAATTGTTCCAGGATTGAAAAAAAATTCTTGTTTGCGTAAATTTACTAATACTTTTCATTCGAAGCACATGCGATAAAATTATTATAGTAAGTAAGGATAGAGCCTTCTTATACGACAACAAAAAGTGCTACACTCACGTATGTAAATCGATGATTGTTTGCTTGGAAATCGCTTGATGATTGGAGTACACCAGTATGATACCTTTCTTAAGATCACCCCAGATTTCGTCCAAATAAATTTTAATCTTCGATGGGATGTTCAAATTTGACTCCAGACTCGCATCCGAGTTCGTCTCACGTGCTATTTTTTGATTTCTTCTGCCTTTCATTTGTAATTCGTCAATTTTTTTCGGTAACAATCCCGATGATCCACCACTGTAAGGGAATTTTTCACCTATAATCTTTTCGCAAGTTCTCTCTATTGACACGGCAAAACGGGTGTCATTATTGAATGCAGCTTTTACCATATCGCTGTACTTATTTTTCAGCTCGAATATTTTTACAGCGTTCATCTTAGGATTCTACAATAATGATGATAAATTAGAGTGATAAAAAAACGATTACATGTCTCTTATTCATAATAATAAAAAAAAAGTCATACTTTAGCTGCAATATCGCTGATATTGTCGATACAGGCGATACCTCGATTGTACATGTGGCTTTCAAAAATAACTGCCAGTTCATGGAGACCATTTGGTACCTTTGATATCATCTTGTACATTCGGCCCAAGTCTCTGTTTTCATCAGCGTCTAACAAATTATAAAACTCCTCGTATAAGACATCAAGATGTTTCTCGATCAGTACTTGCTCGCACGTCTTCATGAGTTTAACGTGTGTTGTCTCGTGCAAGTAATTTTTTACCCGTTTCTGCTCCTCTTGTAGTATTTGTTCCACCTGGAAATTTATGATAAAAAATAGTTAAAATTTTTGTTGTGGTACAATATATATATATATATATAAATAAGTCAAACCTTTATTAAATACTCGGTGACTGAATTTCCTCGTAAAATATCTTCACTTTTACGAGTATAAAATATTTCGGTGTCATCGAGAAATTGATTTTCAAATGCTTCTTCGTATAAGCGAAGAGTTTGTCCCTCGTCACCGATGAGACCAAGTTCTACGTAGCTGCTGATGACTCCAGCGATTAAACGCGTGTTTATCGTTTCTCCATTTCTTTCGCGCTCAATTAGATTTAAAACGGCGTTGGTTACCTGGAATCAAATAATATATTTTTTCATGACGCCATAGCAAATTTTTATTTAAATTTAATGTATACCTGTTTGTTCAAATTCTTCAGAACAGTGTCTTTCCATACGAATAAAGCCAACTCGTATACTTTGAAAAATCCCTCACGTCCATCTTCGAGATTTTGTTTTACCCAGTGGTCATTGAAATAGGCAAAAATGTCATTTACCAGCTCACTACTAGGTTGGTATTTTCTCCACTCGTCGGTGTAAAATTCAAGTAGATCTTCACCTCTAACACGACTTCCATACTGTAAGCAATATATGCATTTTTTAATTTTAAGCAGAAGCGAAAATAAAGTAGATGTTTGGATAGGGGTATATAGTACTCCTACGTACAAAAAATGTCACACTTTGTCAAACTTTTTAAAAAGTAAAATTTTTTTTCAATACTCCAAGTTATACTTAAAATACTAAAGTTCAATGTCGAATGGAGCATTTAAAAAAAAAAAATAAAAAAAAAAAACAAACCTTATTTATAATAGACAGGTGACTTCGAAGAAAATCGGCCAATTTGTTGTACAACTCTGAACCAGCTGTTTGAGTCTTGCCACAACTTTTTTTACCGCTTCGAAACAATCCCGAACCCTTTTTTTTTGGTTCGCATGTACAGATGTCATGCACGAGGCTGTAATCAATAAATTTCAAATTTGTTTGTGGTGAAAAATAAAAAAATGAATCCACGAAACAAGTTGAAACGGAGATTCTTTGTAAATCAAAAATCTCAATGAAACTCACGTGTACAATTCTTTGCACTTATCCTGGGACATGTTGTACTGTCCATCGTAAATGTTCTCAAGTTCTTTCCTGATAGCTTTCCACATTTGATTCGAATTCATGGAATTATTTTTATTGAGGTCACACAAGCTTCGACTTAAATTTCGTTTCATTGTATCTTCACGATCGGATTCCTCGGAAGCCTCACCACCGTTGTCGGACATCATGCAAGGTTCATGTGCCAACGATACCAAAGACCTACTACGAATACCTATGTTTTTTCTCGCCACCCTTTTACCGGTCATTTGTTTGCAAGCTTCGTCCAAGGCTTCCAAGAAACTTCTGTCATTGTTAAATTTGTCCTGCACCAAAGTACTGTATTTCTTGGAGTACATCAGAACAGTTTTTATATAATGTTTGGAATCCTACAACGATGTGGTGAATTAGCGCGAAGTACAAAAATACGTTATTTAAAAAAAAAATGAATTCTTACTTTAGCGGGCATGTCGCCACATCTATCAATAGCAGCGACGCCTTGATTGTAAACGTGGTTTTTAAAAATATTCTTCAACTCGACAAGGCCATTGGGTATCCTGGCGACCAACCGATAAATTCTTCCCAAGCCATTATTTTTATCTTCGTCCAAAAAATGACTAAACTCCTCGTATAAGACATCAAGATGTTTCTCGATCAGTACTTGCTCGCACGTCTTCACGAGTTTATCGTGTGTTGTCTCGTGCAGGTAATTTTTTACCCGTTTCTGCTCCTCTTCTAATATTTCTTCAACCTGTTTTTTTTTTTAACAAATACAACCAAGTTATTCACGTGATGAAAAAGTTACTAATATCAAAGGATTGTGAATTGGAAAAAAAGTATACTTGTAACGTGTACTCTACGACCGAATTGTCACGTAGAAATTCTTCACTGTCGCGAGTATAAAATATTTCGGTGTCATCGAGAAATTGATTTTCAAATGCTTCTTCGTATAAGCGAAGAGTTTGTCCCTCGTCACCGAGAACTTCTTCGATGAGACCAAGTTCTACGTAGCTTCTGATGACTCCAGCGATTAAACGCGTGTTTATCGTTTCTCCATTTCTTTCGCGCTCAATTAGATTTAAAACGGCGTTGGTTACCTGGAATCAAATAATATATTTTTTCATGACGCCATAGCAAATTTTTATTTAAATTTAATGTATACCTGTTTGTTCAAATTCTGAAAAATAGTATCCTTCCATGCCACTAACGCCAATTTGTATGTTTCGAAAATTCCTTCGTATCCTTTTTCGCGTTCCTCTTCTACCCAGTGATCGCTGAAGTAGGCAAAAATATCATTGAGTACTTTACTGCTCGACTGGTATTCTTCCCACACTTTTGTGTAAAATTCGAGTAAACATTCACCCGTAAGATGGTCTTCTTGCTGTAAGTAATATGGTTATTTTTGAGTAAAAGTAGAAATGCAAAAAAATAACTGTGGCTATTCTTTAACTGAAATCGTTAATGGAATTACGTTAAATTTGGTAAAAAGAATTAGGACGTAGAGCGGTTTTTGTTACGTAAAAATTTGCAACAAGTATTCATCCAAATCGAACAAGTTAGAAAATACATGTGAATACAGTTAGGGTAATATGAATGACCCAAGAATTCTGATGCTTGAAGTAGTTAATCTTGCAAAATCTCTAATTTCAAAAATTTTAGTGTAGAACTCAAAAGCTTTAAATTAAATTTTACTAATACACTATAAGTGTATAAGTCTTTCGGAAGTTCGGTGAAAAAATGTAATGGGAAGAGCCAACATTTATTTATAAGATGAAAAGTAAAGTGAAACAAGTTACCTCCTCCTGCAAATCAATCAGGTGGTTCTCGAGAAAATGGCTTATTTTCTGATGCAACTCCAAGGCAATCGATTCGATATCGTTTGTCGTCTTCTTATGACCTCTTGTACCTTTTTTTTGTTGATGAACACTTGTGCAGTAGTTCTTTATTAGACTGAAAATTTCAAAGTCAAGTGTTATCAAGTTTCACTATTTTGGAATTTGATGATTATCTCATAGCCGAGCTAGATGAGACCATATATATTTTTTACTTTTTGCTGCAAATTCAAAGTGCAACGTTGTTATTTTATAAATTACGGTAGTTCCAGGATTATAATACTATTTCCGAGGCACTGACAAAAACATCTCTCAGATTCAAGCAAATACTTGCTACATTATAGTTCAAAGTGAGTAATCGATTAAAATAAAGTAGTATTTTCTTACATTGAGAAAATATTTAATCTTAAACGAGACAATATTCTCGATGCGAGAAAAAATATTACTACGGAGCTATTCTAGTGAATAATTTCCTGACTCTGAGAAATAACAATTTGTTCAAGTGCATGAATTAATAGCTATTTTCGCAATAGTTATACGTGGATGACTCGCATCAGGGTGTGTTTCGAAAGTCAAGCTCACGGCAAATGTTATGGAAACAAAAGAAAACAGTATGGAAATATTTGGTGATGAATAATCAATGATTTAAATTTCCTTGTACTTTAATTTCCATCGCCATTGCCGGCAGCCATCCAATTTCCCAAAGAAGTATATGTATGTATACACTATATACAAATATACGGTTTACGTATTTAGAACCCCTAGCGGTCATATCTGGCAAAACTTTTAAATTATTAATTTGCCAGGTATTCGAATTCCGTTTTCATTTTCAAAAATTCAAAGTGCTTCTGATGAGCATACGCTTATAAACATTTATAGCACAAAGAAATGAAAAGAAAAGTATAACTTATTAAACCACAAAAGTTTGTACGACAAACTCTAACAGAAAAATGTTGCAAAATATTAAAAGTCCGCATATATAGATAAAACTTGAGAATCTGATCGGCCAAGATAAAAAATGTACGATTGGCAAAGATGACCGTATACAACAGGTAGCAAGTAATTTTATCCAGTTAGTTGCCGACGAGAGTCGACAGGTTGTAATCATATGTGCTTACGTGTCCAATTCCACGCGGTTCTTCGGGAGCATAGCCTCTCCATCGTAGATGCGTGCGATACCTTCTTCGATCTCTTCCCAAATAACGTCCAAATCACTTCGTATCGGGCAAGATTGTTGCTTTTTCTTTTTTTCCCACGCCTCGTCGGAATTACTTCGTTTCGCGGCAGATTGTGCTTTATTCCTTATCTTTTCCTTGCGTCTGAAGCGTAACATCTCGAAGCGCGTGGACGGCTGTATCGTACGTACACCACACAAAAAAAAATTGACTTGTTCAACTACACCTAGTCTTTGTCACAAATGGTGGACGTATAGGACCGCGTCTAATCTAAGGTAGATCGTAGAAACCAATTGACTATAATATTGAAAGCTATGTAAGAGTCTTGAAGGAGGAGTAACTCGTGAATGTTAAAACTTACGGGATTTGATAAATGTATGTATATGTAGAAGCAGTGGGTTACCACCTCCTCCTCGACTTGTTTCCTTATATACCTACCGAAAAATGTGTTTGATGCAATTGTACTCACCTTATAGTGGATCACGAGGCAATAAACAACTTTACCAACGCGCGACCGAACTGATCAGCAATAGTTCAATAAATCCCTGCTTTTCTAATTAACTTCCACGTGCCTGTGGCAACTGAACCCTCGGCTCGGACAAAATGTTCGACAACGGCGCAGTTAAGCTACGCTTTATCTTCGGCAATTAAGTAATGAGCCACTGAGTCATCGGTTACTCATAGATATAGTAAAATATTATAAATACCTTCTTTTTTTTTTTTTTCTTTTTTTTTTAATTTTCTAGCTGCAATAATGAGGTTTCGAACGCCGTCATGGCTTACATCACGCGAGCGGCGTGACAATTGAGTTGGTGCAAAAATTATTGATAGATTCGTGAACTGATGGCGAAAAATAAGAATATTTTGTTTTTTCAGGTACTTATAGATTTCGATAGGTTGACAATTTGTATCAATTCTGACACCCGTAGATATCTAACTGAGTCTAATACGTATATATATTACATGAACTCCAAACGAGAAAAAATGTGTTCCAAGTTGCGGAAAACATTTTAATCCAGAGAGTTTTGTACAAAATTAAATATGATTCCTTAAGTAGGTACACTCACAACTGTGAATAACGGACATTTCCTTGATTAACGCATTGTTAGACTCACGAGGGGAAGATACACAAAATTTTTGTAGGTATTTTTGAAGCCCGTACACTGCTCTGCTAATTGTCATAATTTTACGAAGAAATTCGTTTACTTATTTGTTAAACGTGAAAGTTCAAAGTAATATTTTTTCGTACAATCGTGATGGATTTTATACATCTTGAAAACTTTTACGAACGACTTACGCGTTTTTAACACATTTTTCAATTGGTATAGTACATCAAGCAATGGAGTGACGATCATGTAAAAGCGACCACCCGAAAAACGTGGATTTTTAGTATTAAACACGCAAAAACACACAAGTATATTTTTCCATTCGAAATCATAATTTTTGTTGAAAATTTCTTCACGCGGTCGGCATTTTGAACTTGAAGGAAATGGAATATATATATTTCCAAGAAATCCGATAAACAGCTCGTTTGTGGTAAATGTATATTTGGGTAACTACTGTACTGATGATAATGGACATGAAATTAACTAAGTATAGTGAGGAAATGCCACCTACACATCCACGATCCCGCAATCGGTGAACGTTAGACTGAATAACGCAAAGGGCAATCTAATGGACACCCAAAAAGGTATAAGTTAAAGCCATTTTACCGAAAGACCATCAATATACTACTTTTGTCACATTCGACGTTGTTTATCTGTCACACTCTATACGAGATAAGTATATCGGAATGGACGTTGAACTCATATTTATGTTTTGTAACATGAACAAACGTACAATAAATCGTATTTTATATTTTCGGGTATTCCACGAAATAACAATAAATTACGTTGTGATTATTTTATTTAAAGCTTTTCAAATCTCAATATTTTTTCGTATAAATAAATCTATGACGTTTTTCTGGTTTGACCACACTTTCTTTCTTAAAAGAATGACGTCCATTCTGGATTCGATTAATTAGTTCTGTAGCGAGTCATTTCCAAAGTATGAGTAATTGGACTGCTGTTGAAAATAATTTGAATTTTACGGTAAAATAAATATAATTTTGTAATAAAAAAAAAAAGAATTAAATGGAATCGTAGTTAAAACATCGAAAAAAGTAAACGTTTCATCCAAGTTATATGGCTGATTCTCCAAGGGGACCTTCACACACACACACACACACATATACACACTACTGCTCCCCAACCATCCGCTAGATGTCTAACCATTAACAGTAACTTTCTCGCAAGTGTCCAGTTTTCATGTTGGTGACTAAGTATATGTAAGGGCATTTCAGATGAGATCAGGTAAGGCAGGGAACATGTCATCAGCCCTACTGAAGAGTCCTGGCGTGCTCTTGGGGGATGAAACACGTAGTTATCTTTTCTCTCTCCTCATGACTTGATTTCCATAGCGCGCAAGGGTCAAGATAGAGGCGAAAAATACCGATTCCACTATCGCTGCAATTCTTTTATTTTTGAAATCACTGATACAGTTTTCATAATTTTCGAAACAATGAATAATGAAAATATCAAGTATTCTATAAGCTTTATTTTTTATCCCTGCTGAGTCTGAATGTGCATCCAATTATATGCCCAGTGAACGAATAGCAGTGAGAATAAAGTTCATTTCAATGAGGAAGGCAGGAGAGAAGGAAAATATAGATTGGATTGAATACAGAAAAAAAATAAAAATTACGTGTATATCAACAAATAAAAAATTTTACTTTTTACTTGTCAAGTTTTGTAATGGTATGAAAACGTTTGACGTTTCACATTCGTTAACTGTCAGCTTAGCAATACATATATTTATAGAATATCTTACAAGATCTTTTATAATGCCTTACAATTGGTCAATGCCGCAAAAAAAAAAAAAAAAATTAAGTAAAGATTTTAATATTATTTAATAAAAATAACTTATTAATATGTATTTCTTTTAAAATACAATATAATGTAGATACAATAATCACATGTTTGGTAAAATCATTGAATTGTTAAATCAATACAGCATAGCATAACTTATGAGACTCTCAAAAAACGTTGACATAAATATTCCTACTCATTTGATTTTTTAGCAGACTTTCGTGTATATAATTAATTTTTGATTTATACTAAATAAATTATCAACTTTTGTGGCTCAAAATTTAACGCACAATCATATGAATATAGATATAAATCTTAACATACCATTCAATCTGAGAAAAAATTACTTAAAACATTTATAATATTATGTACAGTTAATTAAAGTCGTAATAACGCTGAAAGAGCCACAGATCATTTTATTTTTACAATATTTTGACCCCTCCCACTAAGTACTTTTATCTCTAGAATTCATGAGATTCATTAAAAGGGCAGTCACTTTGAAGTAGCAGTTTTAAATGGTATTTGTCATTTCTAAATGAACTATGTGTTTCAGTGAGAATTGCACTTGTCTAAGTGGAAAAAACATTTTTATAAAACGTCTACTCAAAAAAATAAATAAATAAATAAATAAAAGAAAAAAAGCTGATTTGTTATGTCACGGTGGCTTGGTGTAATGTCATAATTTCAGCCTTTGATAAGTAAATTTAACGTCTGCGTTGCATGTTTGGTGAAAGATTAAGTATATTACAAACGCATTGGCAAACAAATTATTGTTATGGATACACAACAAGTTTAAAGGGACTTTGTATTGATCATACCTTGATTCAATCACCATTACCTTGCAAAAACTATGTTCACTATCAGCCGAGTCCCAATGATTGATCATTTTTAATGTTATTTTTTGTATATACCTACTTAGATACTTTGTAAAATAAAATTGTAGTGAATTGATTTTCCTCAATAGAGTAAGCGAGGAATGTTTGATACACATGTACAACAAACAGATTCGTTCATGCAGGCCATTCGAGCAGGCACTTGCATCGTACAATTGGGTAAATCACTAAAAAAAAAAAAAAAAATAACAATAATAATAAATAAAAATGAATAAATAGAAAAATGGAAGAAACGGAGAAAGTAGAAACATATGTCCTGAGGAACTTTGGAGGTCATGTTGTTTACGACGGTTTGTCACAATATGCATTGGAAAGAGAAAAAGTAAGTGCGTACATGTTATTGGGAGTAACAATAAGTAAAGAGACGTGCTTGAGCTCAAACGATCTGAACGATCTGCAGGGTGTTACGGGCGAGAGTGCTCATACCATTCCTGCTGTCGATATCCGAGGACTCGATCTGCTCCTTGAGGAGCTCAAGCTCCCGAATACCGGAGACAGTAACCTCGTACTTGTGGGTGACGAGGCTGCGGTAAAAGTGTATGGCAAAAGCCAGGAAGATTATAAGGACGGGCACGAGGACGATGCAGGCCGACCACGCGGCCACCTGCGAAAAATCGTAAAACTTGACCCAACAGAGTATGGCGATCTCGACGAGGAAGAGCAGCAGGCCCAGCAGGGTCGAGAACGCCCAGGCGATCTCTATGTACCAGTGGAGACGCTCGTGCGGAGACTCGTGCACCAGACTTATGCTGTGCAGGTTGCAGACAGCCTCGATATTTGGCAGGATACAGGTAGATATCATCAGGGCGAGCATGTGCACCGCTACCAGGAGGGTCGTACACACGGCGAATGTAACCAGCATCTCTTTTGGCACCTTTGTGTCCGAGTTTAACTGTACCTCGACCATCGCCACCTGTGCACACGAATGCGTCAATGTACTTTTATCATTAAAAAAAATATACCATGTCCATGTAATTTTCATAAATTTTCTCTCTCTCTCTGAGGGGTGAACTTACCATGGCAAATCCGGAGAGCAAGGCCGACGTCTTGCTCGAAGCCTTGAGCTTGGCCCTGCTAAGCTGGAGCTTGCGCCAGGCGAGGTAACCCGGAGTGTGAAGCCCATCACCCGACTGCGACATCCTCGACTGCACGTGACGACGACACCAGGCAGAAACAAAACAACAACAAAAAAGCACGTATTAGCAAGCATTTTTTTTCCTCCACTCGACGAGGTCAGTCACAGCCCTTTATGTTTATTCATCGGCCATAATATACAGAGCACATGCACACACGTGGGTTAGCATACATGTATATATATAAAAGTAGTCGAAAGCAGTTAGTGGATTCATACAGCAAGGGGAAAATAAAAAAAAAAAAAAAAACATAAACAAAGATTTTCAAAACTAGGCTGACCTGCAGCAGTATCGTTAAGCAAGCATTTTTTTGAGTGCAGTGCGTGTGTCATTGCGTGCATATATAAGTACAGCAGCGGGCAACAGCACAGTAGGCAACACCTACCCCAACAGCTTTTTTCTTTTTAACTCTATTATATCAGATCTGTCCGTCCCCCTGATGCAACACAAGCACAGCCGAGCCTTGCGATCTTTTTTTTTTTGTTTTTTCTTTAATTATATTCAGAAAACTTTTTTTTTATACAATCCCACGCAGCAACAGCAGTAGCAGATCAAACAGCACTTCAACGCTAGCACCTCTGAACCAAACAAAATCATTTACTTGTACATACATCATGTTTTCTGTAGTTTTTCGCGGGCGATACTTGTTTTTATGTGCATGAGGGTAAACAAAAAAAGTTTCAGCTAAGTATACGCTCCTACTGTACTTATATAGGAGAACAAGATATCTCTTTACGTTGCACAAGTGCAGGTATATTTTTTTCCAGGGCATTTGTATTATAGGTACTTTTTTTTACCGATTCACGCTCGAATTGTGTACGTACGGTCGCGATGGACGCTCGCTGATTTTTTTCGATTTATGCTTACGTACACCGAAAAATTTCACAACCGTACCCGATGGCAACTATTTCAAGTCTTCAGTATCGCGTACAAGTTTATAATATATCAAATGCCGTGGGCGAGACCGCAGAACTTTAGCGAAAGGGTAATAATAAAATGTTGATTGGACACGTATGAGAGTAGACAGATACAGAAAACAGATCAAGTGCGCCAAACAACAACAGCAAAGGAAAAAATTTTTTTTTTAAGAAGTAACATGTACATATGTGGAAAGATACATGATATACTCAAGCGAGTTTTTGCGTTTGAATAATCAACTGTGGTTACAAGTGGTACAAGGTGTACAGGTGCATATGGGAGAGAAAAAAAAAGAAAAAAAGAATGAAACTTGAACAAAACTTTTGTACAATAATTGTGAAAAAGAGTTCGGGTGGTATGCGGTGATTTTGGAGGAAAAAAAAAAAAAGAATCAACAAACCTGGCAAGAGTGGGACCTTTTGTGGAAACAAGTTTTGTCGGGTGCGTGGCAATGTGCATGTGAATGCAAGTTACTGGCTTGATGCGAGGTAGGAGGTAAGCCCGGCCTAGCTTCTGCACCAAACACTGAATTTCGCCCAGTGCTCGTCGACCATACGGACATTAAAAATTATTTTCTTGATTCCTCTTTGGGCACCTGTAATCAAACGTACCGAGAATAAATTTTTTTTTTTCATCACTTTATTTTTTTCATTAAATTTTTAACTAGCATGTGATTGTTTTATCATTCACAGTACGTTTTCTAAAAAAAAAAAAAAAGTAATTTGTTTCCACTCGATAACGCATCGTGTGTATCAAGTGACTGGAAAATATACACATAAAATTAAAATGAAACTCCGTGTTTTTAATTGGCTATTGTTAAACTATTCGAGTTTGTATACATTTTAAAGCTTAATTCTGAGTTTATGTAAAAATTACAAAAAGTGGAGATGGTTACAGCGTCTAATCCCTCACGTATTTTTCGCGTGTATTTTTCAAGTGCGGAAAAATCGTGATAAAGATCGTAACGATGTAAAATTACCTCGAAAGTTGCATAAGTCGTTGCTACTTGTGATCTTACAGTTCCGTTTACTACGTCTTACGAACAATATATGTTTGGCTCAATTTTCAAAGTAAGTAGACTTGTTGGGCACTACTATAGCAGTCTATTGCTGAAAAAATTTTTTATTTTTCGCTACTCGTTACACAATACTGAGAAAATATTAAAATTTTTTTTTTTTTGAAAATTAATATTGCAACACACTTTAAATATTAAAGTTCATTGTAAATTAAATGTATTATTACTTTGACTGTTTTTTAAAATTGTAATGCTTGTTTAGCTGAAAAAAGTGTAGTGATTACATAAACAGATTTTGCACTACAATTTTAGCAAAAAATTAAAACAGTATCCGCGCCAAGTGTAGAAGTAACTTAAATAGCTCCAGTCAATGCCGTTATTAAAAAATACTTTTGTAAGAATAGCCCTGGAATTGTACGTTAATAGACGCGCGATTTTTCGTGTGAAAAATCCAAACAATACTTGCGTACATTATTGCCGGAGATCGTTATATATTCGCGTAGAATTCGTTATCCCAAGAATATAATCAACCATTTCCGAGTTTACTCGACCGTTTATCTGTAACCATTAAATAACAATGCTCTTGCTATTTGAATGAAAATTAGCGCAATTTTGTCGTGATTCTCATTGAATTTTTTTTTCTTTTTTTTCTTTTTTGTAAATCATTGCAAACCTCACGTTTTCACGAATGTCATGCGAAAATTGTATTTTTCACTCTACAACGGATACCCGAAAACTTTTCGTACTCATGAATCATAAAACTGTTATCACTGACTATGTACGTTACGAAAACTATAAATAGACGTGTAGCATGAGTGTTGAAAAATATTCCACTGTATTTTAAACTGTAAATAATTCTAGTTTTACTTTACAAGGGAATGCGTTATAACAGCGTGTCGCTCGACTCAATTGGAAGAATTAAATTGATCAGTGTACAGTAGGTATGAAGTACATTTTAACGACTGAAGAATAAAGGAAGAACGAATAATTTTGCAGACTGTGAAAAAAAAAAAAAAAAAACAGAGCTAGCAATACGAATATGCAATAGTATAGGGTACACCCAGGGCATTCGCAATTCGCGAGACATGTTCAAGTGCCAATATTTGCCTAAAAATAATAGCACGCTGTGGCCAGTCTTTCGGGTAAAACTGCAAAAAAAAAAAAAAAAAAAAAGGCTGCGAGTAAAAAAGAACTCCCAAGTGCGATTCTACTCCGCGAATTGCAAAATGGCTATAGCAGCACCACTACTAAACATCAGCAATGTATGACGTGTACCTATACATGTACATATGGCGCATTGAAAAAAAAGCACACCCATTGCGTTCGTTGCGCTGGCTCATTCTCTACTATTTTTATATACATACCTAAGTGCGTACTGCAAAAGTGAAAGTATATAGGTTGTTGTACGTACCGATACGGGGGCTGCAGCGATGGTGTTTCGATCGAAAACCAAAATGTATAAAGGCGGAGAGGAATGAAGGAAAACGAAAGAAAAAAAAAAAAAAAGAAAAAAAAGTAGGGGCCATGCACACACATGCAGGAGGAGAGCCGAGAAAGAGGTTATAAATGTGCCTTACCATAGTGTTTGTTCACGTGGGAAGTCCTTGAAGCGCAGAAGAACGTGCACTCATAACTTTTCGTGGCAAGGACGCGTTATAGGTATTTATATTTAAGGTTGACCAATGAGCACACACGTGATATGTACAACGATACAGTTGGAATCAAGAAAAACGAGATCGCAAGTATGCGTGGAACAAAAGTCGCCCTGCAGACTTTGACGGCCGGCTCTGTGCTGTTATATACCTATAGGTAGCTGATGCAGGCCAGACAGAGGCTCGATCGTTTCGTTTGTTGTGCTATCGCTGATTTAAAGTGACAGGCAACGGTATATAGTCAAGTGGACACACCATGCTCCAAAACAGCTCTCTGAAACTCACGACACGATAACAACACGAACACCAGAAGCACCAAAAGCGACGAAGAAAGAGAGAGAGAGAGAGAGAGAGAAACTATCTCAACTCACACACACGCAAACACCAACTCTCTGATCAGCTGATCTCTCGATACTATATATGTGTATGTATATATTTATAGGTGATGTGTTGTCAAGTTGTGATACTTGAGTAAGTATACAGAAGAACGAAAGAAGCAGAGCGAAGGCACGCATCGGTTAGTCATAACTGTTGCGCTGCCGTTATACGATACAATACGACTTGATTGCCCGCATCCCAGCAACTCACTTAGCAGTTAATTCCCGTTTCCTCTTTCCAAACTGTTTGTATACATATGTATAAACTTACTCGAATTCATGATACACCAACAGTGGTAATACCTGAATATACTACTCTCTGTGTGAGCTCTTCTTCTTTTTTTTTTTAGAATTTATTTAGGTACGGGTTTCGACTCGAGTTTAACTTACATTCCGACTGATAATGCTTGTTTTTTTGTATTTAAATAGATGAAAGTACCGGTCACGCATTACCATGTACAACAACGCACACTCCAAACTCCAAAAAAGATATAAGTACTCCAGTACTCCTACGCTCGAGCGCGATGCGCAAAAAATCACTGCGGCTCCGTTCCGTAACGCTGACCATCTCACCAGTGTATGATGGGACAGATAAGTCACGTGATGCAAGTGCGATGGAGATGGCACGACGCGAAAATGAAACATCTCGGTACTACTACTTACTCTCGGCCAAGTTGATTAGTGGACCGTTTGAACGCCAAATGCTTGGCGAGTCTGCAGTTAGAGTGCAACATATCGCCCTGAGGCTTACTTAACGCATGGCATTACTCTTTTTCTTATTTATTCGTTTGACATTTTTACTGCGGGGGTATTATTAACGAACGAATTTGACGATGACGCGTCCTTGGGGCATAAAGGTTTTACTGACTTGACTGTGATAATACTCACGCGCTTTATCTATTCGTCGTTTAACGCATCGTGCGTAGTAAGTATAATTTATACATTAAAATGTACGTATCATGTATGTGCGTAAATTAAAATAATTTAAGCGATACCTACGAGTATGTACTATATGCCTCTCCTATTAAAATTACTTGCACATCGGAGTTAATCGTGACATATATTAGTATTGTTTCAAGTTCAAGGATGATTTCGCAAAATACGGAGCTGTCATTTTTATCACACGAGTACATAATATACGTTGGAATCTTTGAAAAATCGTTCGATGGAAGGAACGAAAATTATAAAAGCACACGTTTCTGCGCGTAGCTGATAATTCATTTATATAAATTTATAAATCAAATCGTACTTAAATATTTACCTGATAAACATTTTTTACTAGATTGAGACTTTTTTTATTTTTCTCAAATAGTTATTTTTACCTAATTCGATTTTACCACACTATTTTTGTCAAATCTTTTTTTCTTCATATGATGAATGAATAGTGCGCCACTATAGGTAAACCAGATTGTCCAGACAAAAATGTGAATTTTCTATTTTTTTAAGTATTCGCGACCTAATATTCGTGCAACCATTTATAGGTATAAATAGACTAGTCTTGTCATCATTAATATATCCCAAATTATTGTGTAAAAAAACATAGCACTCTAACTATTCGATTTTAACTTTTTTGATACTTGATTAAAAATAAGTATTGATACACATCGTCGATTCTTAGTCAAGACATTGCTACATTATACTTTCTTAGTCTGAATCAACGAAAATTCCACAAATTTTGTCAGTAAATGCGATTTTTACTGCAAATTTAGTTTTTTTATTTTTTTTTCTAAATAGCTGCTGATTCATTGAATAAAATAACCACTTATTTTATAGAAATGTACATTCGCATTGAGTTTGTAATTCTTTTAATCAAAAAAGCAGTTGTACCAACAGTTACTTTTCAATGAAATTCCTTACGTTAACAAAATACCCCAACATTGTAGAAACGTGATAAGAAGTGTTAAAACATTATATGTGATAAAGAAACGTATACACATATATATGTATATAAAGTTTTACATCAATACTATTCGTATGTATAAAAACAAGGTCGCAACAAATTACAATATTTAAGCAATTTCGCAATGCTTCCGAGCAATACTGTATTACCGGGTACAAGTTTAACAAACTTGAAAACACACAAAGCTAGAAAAACATCCTCGGATTGGAAAAAAAAAAAAAAAAAACATTTTCTCGCTTGAAAATAAATATTGGCATTCGAGGAGGGCGGTTATTTTTTTACCAATAACACTTAAATACAGACAAACTCAACTAAAGTACATATTTGTAGAAAAAATGTGCACAGATATGTTAGCTCGAAATTTCTCTGTTGCACCTGGTATATTTTCTAATTAAAGTCACGTAAGCGTGACGGAGTCTATGGGTGAAAAAATGTTTTCCCCACCCGTACAAATACATATTAGTTATACACACGAAACCGCGTGTGCGCGTTATCGTTGTACAACACTATAGGTGTTTGATTCCCTTTATATATATACTTATATACATCCTCCTTCTCACTCGAGCCTCACGATGCATAAATACGGCCCGACTTGACGTGGGCACGGATACTTTTTCAAATACCTTGCGCTACCATTTTTTCCCCTAATAATATATATCATACTCATTTTTTTTTTTATCATTAAATTATTTCCTTACAACACAGTACAGGAACTAAGGTTGTTTTTTTTTTTTTGTTTTTTTTTTCTTCACCAAAATTGATTTTCTTTTTTCCATCGCCAAAAACAAATTTACCTCGAAGCGTTAGAAAATCTATAAAACAATCGTCCAACTGTGTGTATCTGTCGGGTAATATTAAAAAAAAAAAAAAAAAAAAAAAAGTTGTAAGCAAACAAAGTAACACAGGTCCGAAACAAAACGAATCTGCAGCACTGCGCCGTGTGCCCGTGATTTTCCATCAAAAACTCTCATTGCATGCACTGCACCACAGGAACGATATATTATTATATCCTCGCAACACGGGGAGCGCGTATACAAAGATTTAGGTACCTGTTCGCTTTATTGCTCTAGCTCGTGGAATTTCCCCGTGACCAATCCTTAAGTATATAGAGACGGTGAACTCTCTCGCGAGTTGGTCCACGGACACGCGCGCTCAGTACCTATATATATATACACACATATATTTATGTGCAGGCTGCAACAGTGCAATGAACAACAACAAACGCAATCGGGTACAAATTACCTACACTTTATATGACTTGCGTATTTTTGTATATATACTTTGTCAAATCGATGATGCGGCGAACGCATAATTATATATTATGTGCACGTGCCACCGTCACGCGCGCAGATGATCCTTGACGCAGGGAGGGGAGGGGGAGGGGGGTGCGCGTCCTTAATCAATTTGTTCTGGCATGAGCTATTTTGAAAAGTGCGACGAAACGAGTTTTCCAAACGCACGCGCGTGTGTGTAGGTATCCCCTGCATGATAGTCCTGCAACCTGACCCAGTCTCATACCTATATGTATATATATATATATGCGTTACAGAGTTGCACAAAAAGGCTGCGCAACCGGTGCGCTAGTAAGTAGCTGTGTATGTGTGGCTCCGATGGAGACCTGAAAAATCGGCAGTGTTAAGAGAGCGAGGTAGGTATAGGTAAAGTATATTTTATTAAAAAGCACCGGCACAGTATCGCGCGCGTCGAATTGGCCTCGACGTCGTGTATATATATATATATACCTCCGTGCGCAACGAAGGGAAAAACAATACAAGTGTATATATATATAATCTGCGCGAGGACAAAGCGGAGAAAGATGAAAAAAAAAAGTGCACGTCACTTTCTTTTCTTTTTGGTTTTGTTTTTCGTTCGGTAATCGCGAAGAAACAAAAAAAAAAAAAAAAGAAGGAATAAGTAAGCTAGTGTCCACTATAAGTAGCGCAGAAGGGAAAAAAAAAAAAAAACAAACAAGCATATGGGGGTACGGGATCGGTTTCGTCAACATATTGCCAATCGAGAAAGTTTTTTTGGCATAGTATATAATTATATTCCACAGGGGGGGG